AGTTCTTTTTCTTCTCTTTCTTGACGCTTCGATTGGATTCCCAATGAAATAGGCGTTGGGATCTTGATACTTTTTGGAGACTATTTTAAATTTATTATGAGAAAAATGTTTCTTTGATGAAAAGTCAGACGACATATGATCGCCTACCTTTGCTCCTAATTCAACTATCTTCTTATCATTATATTTTCTACGCTCTTTACCGGTTAACCGATCGGCAGCTATTCACGTTTTACGTCGAGATAGTATAAGTATGCGATATACTAAAATAGACGTATAAATTGATTTTAAATATTACTATAAAGTTCCAATAATTTGCTGGTTTCTAATAATTCCTGAAGCTCTTTGTCGTTCTTTCTATTTAGCCTGAATAATTCACGACAAATGAAAACAATTAATATTTTTCGGATTGTAATTAGATGAATAAAAAAGAAAAGAACCTACTCTTCCTCCTCGACCTCTTCGTCGTTCTTTTGCAATTTTGAAGCGGGTTTGTCTTTCAACTTTGAAATTTTCGAGGACTATCGGAAAAAACAGAACACCAGTTATTACTATTTATCTAATAATTACCTAAAAATGTTCTTATCAATAGTACCATAAAAGACTTCCATTCGTGAACAGTGGAAGGCTTAATTTGTTTTTTTTTAGAAGCTTCATCGAATACGACTATTTCTGGACCGGTTGTGCTTGATGAAGGTTGAGATGAGGTTGATTTAGAAGAGCCTCTGTGATTTAACGAGGATGTTCTATTAGGATCCAACTTTGAAGAAATTTTTTTCATCTTCATATCCAAATGATAGATGTCTTTAGCCAATCAAGAGTTTGAAATTATCGCGAAATTTTATGATTAACCAGATCAACGTGTACATACATTTACATCCAATAAAAAAAAACCCGAATTTGGAAATTTTTCAAACCTAATGAAAAAATGCCGTCAGTGAGCGAACAACAATTCTACCATGCAATCTCTCTTGTCTTTGATTCGTGGACCGCATTGAAGCTTGCTGTTGATATGCATTGGGGAGGA